AAAAAAAAAAAAAAAAAAAAAAAAAAAAAGGCAAGAGAAGACAAAGAGATGTGGAAATAAATGAGGAATAGGTACCAGAAACTGAAACAGGGTTCAGGGTATACCTGAGAAAACAGCAATTTCTGTCCATACTGTTCTTAAAATCCTGTAAGAAAACCACAGCCACACTATTCCAATTGGCAGGATATTAAAGAACCAGTAGCCTCCAGTGTGTGCTACCAAGGACACAATTCTTCCTGTGAATATACAATATACTTGAATTCCAAATGAATGGGAGCAATATATCAGCATCTTATTGAAAAGAAGTCAGACTTTTCTGTAAAACACCATTTGGCCACCAACAATGGATTCTCCACATCTGTCATGTAATTCCTGATGAAATTTCCTTGCTGCTTCTGAAAAGATTCAGCCTAGGGGAAAAAACTGTTTTTATAACAATCACTGTCAAAGAAAAAAATTCCCTCAAACAGGAAAAGAAACTTGGAAACCGGAAGAAAAAAAAAATCAAGCTGAAAGATTTTCACAATTCAGTCATTTGAGTTTCTGGGGTTTTCTGCTCTCGATACCAGTCACCAGGAGTGATACCCCAATGCATATGGACTATTCTAGAGACACTCAGAACTGTTACTTTAAAAATTTAAAAAAAGGGGTGCCTGGGTGGCTCAGTTGGTTAGGCGTCCAACTTTGGCTCAGGTCACGATCTCACGGTTTGTGGGTTCGGGTCCCACGTCAGACTCTGTGCTAACAGTTCAGAGCCTGAGCCTCCTTTGGATTCTGCGTCTCCCTCTCTCTCTGCTCCTCCCCAACTCACGCTCTTTGTCTCTCTCTCAAAAATGAATAAACAATGGGGCACCTGGGTGGCTCAGTCGGTTGAGCGTCTAACTTTGGCTCAGGTCATGATCTCACAGTTCATGAGTTCGAGCCCCGCGTCGGGCTCTGTGCTGACAGCTCAAAGCCTGGAGTCTGCTTAAGATTCTGTGTCTCCCTCTCTCGCTGTGCCTCTCCCTCATTCATGCTCTGTCTCTCTTTCTCTCATGAGTAAATAAAACATTAAAAAAAATTTAGATCCAGACACCTTCAACTGCTAGGGAAGAAACCAGCTGTCAAGAAAGTACTAGGCAGAACTGTACTGGTCTCTCTTCACTTTCTTTCACATGGGACTCCACCCAGACAGATACCCTCTAAACTGTAAGAGAGAATGGGGCACCTGCCTGGCTCAGTCAGTACAGCATGGGACTTTTGATCACGGTGTTGCAAGTTTGAGCCCCACATTGGGTATAGAGATTATTTGAAAATAAAACTTTAAAAAAATAAAATAAAATAATAAATTATAGAAGAGATATTTTCAGTTTTCTAACTTATAATTTCATATACTTTCTAATTCTGGTGTTTTTCAAATGTTAACGGTTTCTCTACCTACCACTTCTGTAGAAACTGATTTATTATCAAACTACTATCATGTTTCATAATACTACCTTGTCTTTATTTATTTTGAGAGAGCTTATTTATTTATTTTGAGAGAGCGAGAGAGTGTGCAAGCGAGCAGAGGAAGGGCAGAGAGAATCCCAAGCAGGCTCCACTCAGTCAGCGCAGAGCCTGACACGGGGCTTGAACTGGCAATCTGTGAGATCACGACCTGCGGCGAAACCAAGAGTCAGACGCTTAAGCTACTGAGCCACCCAGGGGCCCCCATAATACTACCTTGTCTTAAGCTTTTCATGTCAGTTATATCATTTGCATGGCTCAGATGCCTGACGAAGAAGGTATCATTAACCCTACTATGCAGATGAGATTGTAGAAAAAAGAGAGAGAGAGAAAGTTTCAAGGTTACAAGTAAGTTCCAGAGACAGTAAAATCTAGGTTTTTCTGATGATCAGCCTAGTCCTTCATTTTAGGCAAGTTGCTTTTCAAAGGACACTTAAAATACTAATCACTCCCTCCTACCTACCCACTCTTCTCCAAGATTTGTTCAAACAAAACAATTAAGTAGACTTTTAAGTTAACAGGAAATGACAGAACCAAAAATAACTCTGGTGTGGTCTCACCTCTGAAAAAGATTTCCAGCTGTGAATAACTGCAGACAACTCTGGCCAGGCAGGATAACATCCTATCAGGATTTAGTACCCAGTACAATGGATCTTAGCTATATTATACATACAGTGACACCTTACTTTCTTAGAACAAACCTCAACTATTTCAAACTCTGGAAAACCCAGAAAAAAAGCAACATAAGTCACGGAGAAGCCAAAATTGCTGTGGTCAAGTTCTTATACTAAAGTGTTTGGTTGTTTTTTTTTTTGTTTTTTTTTTTTTTAATGTTTATTTATTTATTTTGAGAGAGAGAGAGAGAGAGAGAGAGAGAGAGAGAGAGAGAGAGAGCTCAAGCCAGGAAGTGTCACAGAGAGAAGGAGAGAGAGAGAATCCCAAGCAGAGCTCCAAGCTCACCTCGGAGTGCTACGAGGGGCTCGATCTCACCACCTCAGAAGAGTCAGCTGCTTAAAGACTGAGCCACCCAGGTGCCCCACACTAAAGTTTTTATATACAAGATAAATCCATACATTTCTAAGGGCTTGAAATCACTATATTTCATTTATTTAAGACTAATCTTATAAGTATACAACATGCATTAATTTATAAGTTCGCCAAAAACCAAACTTAAATGATACAGACTATGAGGGTGTTTTCTTAACTATGAGCACGCCTAGCACTAAGACAGCACCTGCCTTTTAACTATGTTTTATTTTACTTTACTTTTATATTTTAAGGGTCTAAGAGGGTTATTTTAATATCTCTTTTATATCTTATGATGGAAATTACATGCAAAATGGCGATCAGAATTTGATAATACCTGAAGGTTTGAGGACTGCCACTAAGCTTCGCTCAGATCCTATTTATTCTGACTTGACACACAATTCTGGTTTATCTGGTTTCCCTACCTACTTCAGCTTAGAAACAGCAGATTAGAAGGGCATATTTTGACAGATAGAAAACAGTCCTGGAGGAGATAAACTAAAAACAGACAAAAGCATTAAATGGTATAGCAGTAAGGAGTCATTTTGGTACAGGAAGAAACTGCCAACACCCTTATTCGGCAGAATGCACCAGCCATGTTAAAAGCACAGGACAGAAATTAATGTACACAACTGACCTTGATTCATCAAAAAAGGTTATGTTTAGTATATTCTTTATCTTAAGAGAAGATTTATACTTTTTATGGGCTATATGCTATATAAACTGACATTAAAATGGTCAAAATATTTAACAGTTAAAGGGCTGTCAGTTATATGAACAATTCACTTAGATCCTTAATAAAACCAAACAAACTGACAAATCTCAAAAACCCATTACCTTTACTAAACATTATGTAGTGTATGTTTATGATCATCACTTATGCTCCTGGCTTTTTAGAGGGGAAAAAACTAAGTTACACACTAGAATTATGTAGTGTAGAAAATCAACATTTATGATGATTCATGTTTTAGGAGGGAAAAAAATCTAAGTTAAACGCTAAAATTCTCCCCCTTCACTGAACATTCAAGAGACTTTTCCATTTATATATGCATTCTTGTCACCAATCTTAGTTTCCTTTCTCCTTCTAATTACCAAAATGAAAAAATAAGAGCATTTTAATAGTTTTCCCCTCTTACAGCTAACCCCTTTATCCAGAAGCCACTAACACGGCTTGTCGAGGTATACGCCCTTCTTATAAAATCGTGCTATCAAACCGATTGTTAAAACTCGGGCGAGAAGAGTTGTAGTTAACTGTTAACGCTAAACAAAAGTGCATAAATTAGTGGTTATGTTTAAACCAGTATTCTTAGTTTAAGAATAGAAACAACAATGTAAAATCCCACAAGTATTAGTAAGGAACAGTTTAGTTTTGGTTAGACCTCTGAATCAGAGAACATCCTTCTCCAAGTCTCTTTGGCCAAAAAATAAAACACCAACATCATGTCAAGAGATCTGTGAATCCCTTTCACACATTCCCAAATGGATTTATTTGTATTTATTTCACCACACTGTTTCTTTTAGTAACAACAGTGACTTGTGATGATCTCTAGAAAGTGGGCCAAAAGGTACGCGTAAACGTCCTTTAAAAAAGGTGGGGGAGGGGCGAGATAATCAGATCCTAAAGACGGGGAGCGGAGCGGCAGAAGATCTGACTTGGGAGAATCTGCTAAAGTCCCTGCCCACGCCACTCTAGATGGCTTCACCAGATACAAGACGAGAAGAAAGGAATTGTTTCTTTTTTAAAAAGATGGGGATCCTGGCCCTTTGGGGTGGTGGCAGAAGAAATCCCCACCCCACCTGCAAGTCCAGCTCGACCGGAGATAAATCAGCAATCTCCAGCAAACTACGGGTCAAGGCGCAACAGAAAATGCCCGGGGCTCCGCGGGGAGGGGATCCCCCTCCTCTGTCCCATAGCCCCTCCAGGTCCTCCTCCTCCCGGACGGAAGCAGCCTGGGTCGCCGCCGCCCTCCCTCCTCGGCTCTCCCCCTCCGTTCTCCCGCCACCGCCCGGCCGAGGGCCGTTTCCCGCGGGTGGACGAGGAGGGCCCAGCCCGCCCAGCACCTTTGATGACGCGTTCGGTGGTGGAGAGGTGGAAGTTCCTCCCAGACATGGTCCCCTCAGCCTCCTCCCGGCGCCAGGCGACCGCCGGACGTGCACCTCCGTCTTCGGGTCCAGCAGTCTCAGCTCCCCGGGACCAGTCAGCCCGCCGTGACCCGGCCCCGGCCCCTCCGGGAGGCTCAGGCACCAGAAAGAGGTGGCCGCGGCAGCCTGGCCTCAGAACCCCACTGACAAGATGCTAGCCCACTGGCCGCTCCCTCCTGAGGCGCCGAGTCCCGAGCACACCGGGCTAAGGGAGGCAACCGGGGCGGCCGCGGCTGCTCGCGGCC